ATAAAAAATTTATATCTTTATGTTTGAAGCCTGAAATGTGGCAAAAGGTTGAAAAGTTCAAGGGGGCCGAATACTTTCGCAAGGCACTGTATGCTCTCATCACCCTTTCCCTTTGGTTTCCAGCATAGAGAGTCCAAATAAAAGAATTCAGGTACTGCTACTGGTGGGCAAGTGTCCAATTTTCTTTGGTACTTGTCTAGGCCACAGACCAAACTCTGAGCCTGGACCCATCCTGCCTAGTCACACCTCAGGCCCAGCAAGAGCCCACTGTTTCATCATAGAATCAAGCTCGTGGGAGGCTGCATGAGGTCATAGAGTAAACAACAACAAACAATCTTTCTCTGTGTCCTGAGGAATTAAGGAGAAGGAGAACAAATAATTAACCCCCTAGGGGGGACCAGCAATTAACAGCAGGCAAACAGGCGTGCAGACAGTGACAGGTGAAATCTGAGAGCTGCAGAATGGAGAGCTTGGTACAGGAGTGCCTGTCCAGGAGGCAGCGGTGCGCAGCCTACTGATGGTGGGGAAGGTTAGGGGGATAACAAGCTGACATGACATCACACTGAAAATAACAGGCCCACTCAGCACACAGGCTCCCTGACCCTGGCTATTCACACACACACACCTTCTACAGCTCAGCTTGCTGCTTTTGCTGGTTTATACTAGAAAACATGCTGCTGAAAGAGATTAACCTTCCCTCTCCCCTGCCAGAGGATGGGATTTATTCAATTACCCTCCTGTCCTACCCAGGGAGACCTCACTGTGCTAGAGCTCTCTGTTCTCAGAGCCTGGCTCTGCAGTGGAGTCAGACAGGCTGGACAATAGGGTCAGAAGAAAGGCCTAATGGTTTCTCAAAGGTTTCTAAATAACAAATATATTACAAGCTAAGCACATTTTGCCTAGGTTTTGGCTTTACATATTATGTAATTTGTGATTACGCTTTTAATTTTCAAAGAGAACAAAATATCAACAAGGCTTACATGGCAGAGGAAATTCACTGGCTGTTCAATTAAAAGCAATGGCCCTCAATTGCATTACAGCCCTCTCCAGCTTTCAAATATGATTGCCAGAACTTTCATGTCTCTATTACAATGTCATTTTTAAAAGCCAATGAATGAAGAAGAAGATGGTAATGGCGATGAGGACGGCTGCTACTGCGCACAGCTGTCTTAGGGCATTGGGCTGCCAGATGTTGTGCAGATGTGGAGAGATACTCTCCCCACTGCAGCTGCTTTCCAGTGCTGTCTGTGGAGGCAGGCAGAGGAGGGGCCTGATGGAGGCTAGGATGCAGGAAACAATCAAAGCCTAAATCCCTTCAGGAGGACTTCCTTCCTGGCCTGGAGCAGGTAAACAGAATTATCTGGCGAAATTCTGTGCCGGCAAGCTGGAGAACAGCCCAGACCACAGTGCTGCTGAGAACCCCTCCAGCACATCACTCATCACAGTGAGTTACTCCAGCTGCTCAGCATCTCCTGTTTCAAGCCCATAGCATTTCAATGCAAGCACTTACAAACAATCGGCACACAGTTTATATTGTTATACATAGCACAAGCATTGTAATCGTTTATGCATTGTAATCATTTACCAATTTTCCTTTTTGTGCGAGGTCACAAAGAAAATAGTCTCTATTATTAATTCCATTCATTCATTTTCTAAGAGCTTAATCCAGTTCAGGACTGTGGGGAAGCCGATGCCTATCCCGGCAAACCATAGTTTAACGCAGTTTAACACCCTGGGCAGGACAGCAGTTCATTAAAAGGCAGACATAGGCACACTCTTACAGCATAGCCAATTTCCCCAGAAGCCCATTTACCTACCAGGATATCCCTGGACTGTGTGAAGAAACAGGAGCATCATGAGCTCTCAGGAATTGAACGCAGGGCCCCAGTGCTGCAAGGCTCCTCTGAGCCACTGAGCCACCCATATTGTTAATCATGAAAATATTCTTGAACTATAATTAGCATAAAATGATAAAAAACCTTCTTATTACCAAGATTATAACCACTTAATAATGTGTCCATTAATGATAGCTCATTCATGGAAGCCAAAGTGTTGATATAGAATTCTGTACAGAACAGGATAGGAAACATCAAGCACTCCATGTGTCTCAGCAAGGCCTCACTTATGTTATATATCTAAAAAAAACAATTTAGGCCATTTAAAGAAGTTTGAAGTAAGACATAAGAAACTAGTTTGTTTTTCTGATGTATTGGACTACGTTCAATAAAACTGCAGCAGTTTCCATTGTACAATAATGTCAGACAATACAGATTGCAGTTTCAGTGTGGGCTACAGTATGAACAAAAGTCAACAAGCAAAGGGCAAATGGAAATACAGCAGAGGAAACATATCAAAAGGACCAGTTATAATGCATAGCAGTACAACACTCAGCAAGTGCCCGGGAAAAGTGATTAAATGTACAGGAGGTACAGTCTACACACTGCAATGCCTGAGCTTTCAGGATGATTCAAAGCCTAGCAGATGCTCCGGATACTGGATGGCCATGCTTTGTGAGCATCTCCAGTACCCTGTATGTCTCCTATCTGTGCAGTGGCCATGTCCAAGGTGGCACCCTGCCCCCAGTAACAGAGATTCCCTGCCACACCACATAGTCACAGCAGGATGAATCCTTGTTACTGACAACAGAAGGCCTTGGTGTTGGACCCCAACATGGAATGTGACAAGATGGATGGTACCAGACTGTGCTCCTGATTCTGCATGTCTGTTAAGATACACAGATGTACAAATGATAAAGGCAGAAACTATCAGTATCTTCTAGACTATTATTTATCTTAGTGTTTTCCTCAACTAACACAAGCATCATTATTGAAGAAAAAATAAAAGGAAGAAAGCAACTCAAAAGAAATAAACACTCACAGTTTAATTCAATAAATTTGTATTTACTGTATATTTTAACGTACAGCAGCTTAATTCTACTTTGTGAAAGCAGTTTTGATATGAGGAACAACAATAATGATTTTTAATTCTATAAAAGCTTTACAAAACCAATAAAAGCAAAAAGGTTTTTATGCTAACCTGGTATGATGAGTTGAGTGGTCCTGTGCTCCTCTTACAGAGAGAGAGGCCTCTAAGGTCCCAGTGGTGCTGAGGCTTCAGTCAAACCTGCTGCTTTGTATTAGAAAGAAGAAAAAATAATTTGCCTCCTGGAGACGTGACACTTCACATTTTCAATTACTTACTTTCCAACTTAGTCATACTGTAGCATACAGTATATCAAGCTGTCCAATGAACTGCCTTAATCCTCATGGTTTGGTCCCAATGTAAGATAATCCCACACATATAACAGTATGCAGTACCTAGCCATGTTATTGAAGCCAATAACAGGGGTGAGTGAGAAACACCTTGATTGAATCATTGGATCAGTTAGCTACTAAGTATCAAAAGGGGTAGATAGGTCAAAAGACCTACTTTCTTTATAACTGTTCTATGTCTTAAGTACAAAGCAAGCACCATAGCAGACAGTGTGCTATTAGGGTGATTCTGAGCTATCTTGCTTTGCTTCAGAACAAGCTTAACTCCCTGTTTTTTAAAAGATCCTGGGTGCAAAACATGTCAGACCCTGGACAGGATGCTAGTCCAGTGGAGGGCACACAAATACACGCAAACATTACCGCTAGGGACAATTTTCCTAGAAGCCAACTAGCCTCCCAGTATGTCTTTGGACTGTGGGAGGAAACCAGAGCACCCAACCCAAAACATGTGAACATGGGGGAGAACACACAAATAAAGATAGTACTCCAGGACTTGTACCCAAGACTCCAGACAATGCTAGTCATATATTCCAGGACTGTAAATACCATTGAACATCACTTGTTTATAGACTGTTAATAATCACTTACAATAGTTTCTAATTTACAGTGATACCGATACTCTGAGTCTGGATTGTAGCCCTGCCTGGAAATGCACTGCCACTCTCCAGCCTGGTTTCATCTCCAAAATAAAAGCTTATTGTCACATTTTTTATTGTCTAGTTTGTGACCTTTGCTCAATTTCTAAGAGGGGAGTGAATGAAATTTAATGCAGCAATTAACATGAATTATTAACTCTGCCATTAATAATTGATCATCACCTCAGGTAATTGTGCCCATTTAAGGAAGAGATAACACCTCTGAGAGAAAATCAGAGTGTAGTAAGTTCCATAGAAAAGGCAAGAAACAAACAATGAGAAGAAAGAAAGAAATGGGAAAGAGAGAGAGAAACAGAACTGAATTGAATTGAGAAACAGTAAGCATTCCTCTTTCTCCTGGTGTTTCGAAGTCTGTGTATCAGGTTCCTGAGACACTGGTATTAATTGCCCTGTAATTACACTGACACCTTTATGTCGCTAATTGCTATAAACTTGGGATTGCAGAGGCTGATTATAGGAACACACAAATCTACATTGGGAAACACATCCAGTTACATACAGCATGATCGGAAGATCAGTTAATCTGGATGTGTCGACTAAGGAGAGATGAAAATGTAATGCAGGGCTTTCCGCTCCATTAGAAGGAGGCTCTACAATACCAATCCGTTTAAACCTACCCCCAAAATGTGACTAAATATTTGAAAATGTAATCCAACACATTGCTGTTTATGACAGTGAATTGTAATATCCTATCACAGACCAGGATAACACTAAATAGGATAAAAGCCCCATAGAAGCTAGGCACACAGTGTTCTTTAAAAACGTTTTCTGTTTGCAAAGAGAAACAGCAAATAATGTTTACAGTGATGAATGACGAATTACTGTATGACGATATCCACTGCTAATTACCATATAACATAGATCAACAAAATAATAGCTAAACCTAAAAATCAGTGACTACAATAAAGCCTTGCTAAGCCAAGAACTGAGCACAGAGTAGTTAGGGGAGTAGAAACTCAGTAGTGCTGACAGCCTAGTACATGATCTCCTGTCAAAACCTGAGGAACAGAGAATGAGCCTTCCAAATATTAATGTTATTTGCAAATGTCTGTTAATGTTTTTTTTTAATTGTTATTGCTTTGGCAACACAATTCATCATTCAAACCAATAGATTTTTTTTAATTTGAATCTGAGTGTCTGTCTTGTAATGTAATAGGCTGGGAGTCAACTGAACCTTCTTATTTTGTACCACAGCCAGTTTCAAAAAGAAATTTCTGTGGTTCACAGTGTTTTTTCCTATTATCACAATGTTCCTCTGTCTTCCCAAGAACCCGTCTGTTTTTGTTTCCTTTGCTTCAGGTACCCCCACATTGCAAATATTTAAGACTGTTAATTTGCAGACTAGTTATCCTGTTTTCCCAACAGTTTGGTTGTGTGAAGTCCAGGAACAGCAGACAACCCGGCAGGGAAATATGACTGACACAGAGAGGATGAGCGGTGGCAGCAGCAGAAACACATGGCTGGGATTGTACAGTTGTATTCGAGTAGTAAAAAGAGTTCACCTTCATCTCTATTATTAAGCCATGTACTGCTTTATTTAAATAATTAGTAGCTGAGGTGTGACTGAGACCACAGCTGGAGACCATTGATAAATTGTAAAGAGGAACTTCAAAAATTGCTGTTTTTTCCTTTTCTTATACCTGATACCTGCTTTGCAGCACAGAGAATATTTTACAGCATTTCCCCCATTTATTTTATCTCTTCTTTTTTCTGTGTGCATTCTGTGACATCAGTCACAGAATTACCCGACTCTCCAGATTGAATGTACTGCAGTTCATTTGTTCAGTTAGATATTTAAGATGTTCAATAATACCTCTTCTGGAATAGAGCAGAAGGCCTGTTTCTTTGATTCCTTCCACTCTGCAATGGCAATATTTCAGTCAGTCAATTCTGCAATTACACTACAAAACCAATATAAATGAACAAGAAAGTGACTTTAGATTTCAACTCCATTGTTTGTGTTTGTGCTTACCTGGCTTGCAAGCCACCTGCTGTATGTCTTCAAAGCCTCTGATCTCCAGCACCTTTCACAGCAGAACTCTGATCACCCTTTCTCCCCCAGCAATTAATAATCCATTTTTTTCTGACTTATAAATACCACAAAACCCTCCAAATGTTGATAATTAACCTTCCTATCTTGTTGTTCATTGCTGTAAGATAAGAATGTCAAGGCATAAGTATAAAACTGTGTCTGTGACTAAAGGTGTGCCACAGACTTTTTTATCTACTAACCAGAAGGCTGGATGACGTGGAGGACTGACAGACAGATTCTTTGCAGTGAATGCTCCTTAACTTAAGGATAAAATAATTTTACATTCAAATTCAAAGAGTGTTCTAGCATGATTGAAGAATTAGTGTAGCCAAGGCAGATACAATTAACACAATATTTATTGACATTTACAGTACAAACATATTATTGGACATGCACAGTACATATATCACATAAAACATCATTGTGAGACAGATTAAGAAAGATATTCTACTGGACCAGGTATCTAATGTTTGGAGTAGAGGGTAAAGGAAAGGTTTATTTTACAGGTAAGACTAACCCTTCCTGAAAGAAAATAAACATCTCTTGGTTTTCTCCATAAGACAAGATAGGCTTATACACTTATCTGTTGAGAATATCTGTGAAAGTGAAAGGTTGTCCAACTCACTGCTGCAGAGAGATGTGTGGCATTAGTTAGGAATCCTTATTGTATGACTTACTGGGGATGCCAGAAGGTTCCCCAGAAACAAAGTGAAACTCCTCCACAGCCCAGTCTGCCACAACAGTTTGTAATGACCACTGACAGCAGTAACTGCGTCCATGTTAACCTGCAGACATACTGTACTGTCATGTTTGATTGAACAATATGTCTGGAGAGCAAATTCCTAACAGCAGTTCATCAGTCTGAAAAGGTTGAATCCATAGCCTGTGTGTGGCGAAGTGCTGAGGAAAGATGGTGATGCATATCCAGTGTGAGTAACAACAAGGCAGAGCAAAGAGAAGCTCAGCTGAGCACTTTGTTTGCAGGGGTGAACAAGCAGTCAACACATGAAATTGTCTCATACTGTACAATTGACTTCTTATGAAAACTTTTAACAATACAGCCCAGCATGCAGATGTCTCTCTACCATCCTCATCATTAATTCATTCCCAGACACCCTTGGGTGAGAGCAATAGCTAACTCTGACCCTGCCACCCCCTTCCTGCCCAATCAATTTATATCATTAAAAATATTGCCTCTTATTGATATCATATCTTTCATCTCAGACAGCCTGGGTCACTGAAGGTTGCCTGTTGGAACAGAGAGAAAAAGGAAGAGAAAGGCTCCTACATGTGCAGCGTGTCCAAGTTTTTCTGTGGGCTTTCATCAAAGCAATATCTCAGCATCTGGTCTGATCTGAAGTACTAACTCAGTTACTGCTCAGCTGAATTGAGCTCATTCAGATTCTGGGAATATATGGCTGAAATATGTTTTGGTAGACATTTTAATAGACGTAATAACACATTCAGTGGATATAATAAAATGAGGATATATTGACTGGTCCCCCAACACCAGAGGTTTAAACCACAATCTATACAAGTACATCACCTGACTGGACTCCAGCAGCAGCAGGCATATCTTTCACATTATAAAGAAAAAACTACTTGAGATAATCCATTGCAAAGCCAATACTGTTAAAATACATGGCCCTGCCTGAATAAAAACATCAGCCTTTACAAACAGAAAGTACCTATGATGCACAATATTAAGCCCAAAAACAAAGTATGCATACAGTATTTGTTAGTTTGGCAGTGTCTTACATAAGTATTCAGACTCTTGCACAATTTTCAGTTTTTGTTGCCCCAAAAGATTGCAATCATGACACTTTGAAGTAGCAATTAATATTTGTTATGTGCTCCACCTACTCCACACAAAGAAAAAGCAAGAAGAAAGACATAAACACAAAACTAATGTGAAAGAAAACTGGAAAACCCACAACTGCATAAAAATTAAAACCTTTTGCTGTGACTAACTTAAATCTTAACCAAAGATCTGTTGAAGGGTATAAAAGATCAGAAGAAGAGTATAAAAAGCATTTCAAAGACTCTTAATATCTCTTTGAGGATGGTGAACTTGTTCACTAATATATCAAAATCCACATGAGGTGTGCTATAAAACACCTTAGTGATACCACAAACATAAAGCAAGCAGTTTTGCGGTCAGGCAAAATGAAAGTAGATCATTTTGGTTGTATCTGAAAGAAATTCAAAAGTACATCACTTAGTGAACTCTGACCCTGCTGTCATGCATGCTGGTGGCATCATTATGTTATAATTCCTTCTCTCATCAAAAGAGACAGGAACTCTGTCAAAACTGTTGGGAACATAGATGGAGAAACTACTGGCAAATGACCTCAATTTCATGTGGCAGGGCTTCTTGTGATGTCACTCGACGTTATTTGGTTTGATCCTTCTTGACATTCGTACACCTACTGCTCACAAGATACTATAATAAAACACTGACTAAAAAGACCCATTCAAAGACCTCTTTTATTTTAAAGACACAAATTTGCTTATTTAAAACTGTAACTAGGCAATAACAGAATTCTTGGAACTTAAATTATCTTCTTCACCATTTAAATCAGTTTTGAAGATTTAAATGGTTCACCACTAAATCTTGTTCGTGTTTCACTGTTCATGCTGCCATATTGACTATTAAGGTTCATTTCTTTGAGCCCGTCAGTATAGGACATTCCTATAAACACCCTCTCTACCAAGAATGACACTGTGTCACTGACAAGGGAGATGCCTGATGTCTTGGAAAGCTGATGTGTCTAAAATTAAAGAAACTCAGGTCTTAACAAGCTTTACTGTCTTTTGTTATAGATTTAATTGCACCAAATTACCCAGCTTTGCAGGTGCTGCAGCATTAATGAGACTTAGAAACCCTACAGACACTACAGTCCTCCAGGACCAGGATGGAAAATTCCTGTTTTAAATCTAATAGCACATATGAGGTGCATCACGACTTGTGAAATAAAAAATTTCAGAACAGCATTCAATACCCTATCCCCCCTATTTTATACAAAGATTAAAAAACACCTCTTTCACAGTGGAAAAGAAAACTAAACAGAGCTTCTACTTTAGGATTAATTTACAAACATACAAAACTATATTTAGTTGACCATCATCACTTTAAATACAGAAGCTCTGCAATCTCCGGCGAGATTGAGAAAGCAATTAACAGGTGTCAAAACTTTTAAAGATAATAATAACATTTAAAAAGGGAGTTGTTTATTCCAGCATTTGAAATGCTGCAAAAGTGTACATTTTGAAAAGGAGCAAGCTTAACTATAACCTTATGCTGTTGGAATAAGACATGCACCACAGTTTGGCTCTTGCAGTCTTTGTGGTGTTTGTGTGTATACCATGAAGACATAGCAGTGTCTGTCTGGAGATGTCTAGGAAATTTACAGAACATTTTAACAAGGGCAAGTACAGAGCAGATACTGTGGTTACTGGGGCCCAGGTGCTTGTTGTTATTGCAAACCTTGCCAGGGAAATTTCCTTTCTTTCATCATCTCACATTTTCTTACTGTACTCAGGGGATGGTCCTCCTCACTTGCTCTAACCTGTCTGCTGAGATCATATTTCCCAGATGTGGGTTTAAGGCTCTCCACCTCCTCCATCAAAGGTTGGACTGAGTGCAGTTGTGCCCCTATTCCCTGCCCCCTGGTGAGGGTACAAGCACAGACTGATGTTCTTGTGTTCAGTAGAGCATCTCCCTTATCAGTGAAATGGTGTCATTCTTGGGATAAGAAAAAGTGTTTAAAGGAATTTAAAGCCTATACTGATAGGCTCAATAATTAGTCAATGCAGCAGATTTCTTCAGAATGAACAATGAAACACAAAGCAGAGGACAGAAGTGCCAACTAAGTGAAAATGTATTTAAAACTCAGTATGGGAGGCATTTATTTGCCAAATGTAAATATGGAACAAGCTTCCCAACCATATTGCTTAAGCTGATACCCTGGTTTCCTTTAAGAAATAGCTGAATGAGATCATCCAATCAATAGGCTACTTACTGTACTACTAAATGGCTTCCTCTCATTTGTAAACTTGTTTAAGAAACATAACTGTATGTACTGTAAAAGTATAGTTTGGCTAAGAGCAAAGATCAGGACTAGAATGAGGATAAGGACGGGTAATTTTAGCTTTAGCATTAGGAAGAGGATGATGGTCAAGCTTAGAATTAATGTTAAATATATGAAAAGAGTGATAGATAACAGTAATATTAGGGATGGAATCAGGACATAGCAGCAGGGTTAGAGAAAGCATTAGGATTAGAACCAGGTTAAGGTCAGGACTACGGTTAATGGGTAGGAATAGGTTTGGAGTATGGTTTAGATGTAGATTTAGGTATGGGTTTGGGGCTAGTGTTAGGGATAGGACTGGGGTAAGGATTAGAATTAGTATTTGCATTATGATTAGAGGCTCATAGCAGGCTTATAAGTTTGATTTTTTTGTAGCAGTGGGTTAGTTTGGAAGATGAAGAATCATGAGTGGGTATAGGAGTAGGTCTAGGTTATGTCTATACAGTAGTTAGACTTGAAAGTAGCGTCAGGGTGAATAAGATTGCATTAAAAGTCAGGGTAAGGGTGGGATTAGGGTTAAAGCTAGGGTTAAGGTTTGAAGTAAGGAAAGCTTTAGTATTGGCATTTGCAATTAGGTTAGGATTAAAACAAAAGGTAGAGTTAGCTCAGGTTTAGTGTAAAATCTAGGTTTAGCATGTTGTTTAGATAGTACTTAAGTGCAAGGCAGATTTGGATTTAGGCAGAATTATGTTTTTGGAAGTATTAAATAAACTATAATGTAAAGTAGTATTAACACCTTGTACCCTGATCAGATTGTAGAAGCACAGCAAGGCTGATTCTGGTTATTGTAGGGATGGGGGACCTCCAGTGAAATCTGTTATAAATTCTGTGAGTGTTACTTTGCTGTAACAGCTGCTGTCCTTCAAATGGTACCTTAAACAGAGTGGCACGTAGAGAAAGAGTAGGGGGATCAACAACAGTTTCAGG